TCAAAGTGTAGTATCTGTTCTTATCAGCTTAATCTCTGATATGTGATCAATCGATCACTTCGAGATTATTCTATTTTTGAGACCTTGGTGGGTTTGTAGGGGCTTGCTCCTCACCTACCGCGGGTCGACCCGGTATTGCACCTACCTCCGGGAACGGCCCATTCATCCCTCGGGATGAAAAATCTGTAAACTGGTATGGAAGTTGAGCGGAATGGCGAGAGATTCGGCGTAATTGGGCAAATTCTATCTTAGCAATCTCTGAGAAGGAAAAACAAAACACCTGAGCGAATAGATCGGTTTGTTTCCGAGTTGCTTCATATTTACTACCCCAAACAAATTAATCCATTTTTTCTTTAATTAATCTTCTTTATATAAAAGGGACCAACCAAGATGAATCCTTCTTTCCCGTTGTGAAAGGTCAGATATTGATTGGATATTGTTATGAAGGAATTAGTTGGAGAAAGCCATATAGTCAAAGAATTTTGTAAATGAATTTTGGTATAATAGTAGCTGGGAAAGATTAAATTCACTAACTTCAAATTTCTGTGCAGATTAGGTTCGAGCAATATGAATTTCAAAGCCACAGTTTAAAATGTCTGGTATTGAGATAAAGGAGAGAACAATATGGATTTCATGTGAATGGGACAGCTCTTTATTCATGAGGGACGATGTGACCGCGAAACGGAAATTTTCTTGACGCTTCTGAACCAATAATTTCTCTTGTTTGGAATTGGCTTCATTTGATTACAGTTTACAGAATATGAAATTTCGTTGCAGTTGTCAAATTAAGTTAATTCTTTCATTGCTTGTGTTTTGGTCCTCTTTGAGAAGGAATTTAAAAAACAAAGACTTTAACAATAGAGTAATACCGAACTTAAAAATTTTAACAAATGGAAGTAGCCTATTATGTTACACTAAATTTTCTGGGGAAAAAAATCTTTTTCTTTTTTCGAAAAACCGCAGGATAAAAGGAAAAGATGCGTAAAACTTGAAATACGATTTGGTCATAAAGTTTGCCAACAAAATTTCTGAAGTGCCGGACCACCAGCTATTAGTGAACTGTTTTTTCTCTTTCAGTATTCGCGGTATTTGTAATACTTACAGCTGGTTTTGTTCATAACTTTTGAAACAACATCGAACTACGAAAGATCTTTCATCCCGAGGGATGAATGGGCCGTTCCCGGAGGTAGGTGCAATACCGGGTCGACCCGCGGTAGGTGAGGAGCAAGCCCCTACAAACCCACCAAGGTCTCAAAAATAGAATAATCTCGAAGTGATCGATTGATCACATATCAGAGATTAAGCTGATAAGAACAGATACTACACTTTGATCTTAGCCAATAGGCCGAGAAGCGATGCGGTGTTTCCCACACTGCTCACTAACATTCTCCATTGCAATAAACTTTGGACGGGTTTTACAATCTCATTTAGCAGTTGTGTGCGAGCACTCTCTATTCTTCTCCCATGCATCATTTACAATGGACATCGAGAACTCACAAAGAGAGAGAGAGATTGGTCGGAATAGAGTGCTAACGAATCAAGGAGAATGGATCAACTTAAAGATTTTTCAACTTCAACTAACTTTGTGAAATATGAAATCAATTAACCTTAACTTTAACCTTACTTTGACCTAACTGGTATTGTAGTATTCTGTGCTGATATTCACTTTGGATTAAAATCAATGGGAAAAATTGTGAGGTTATTGAATGAACATTGAGAGTGTTTTTCTCTGCTCGTCTCACTCATTCATTGAACCACTGAAGAATCTTTGCGAAGTTATCTATAGAAGGGTGCAGAGGGGAATGGGCAAGTCTTGCTCTCCTGCATTTGACCGAGAAAATCTTTCGCCTTTTACTAAAGATTTCCGTGCAGGAGAGTATTCATGATTGTGAAGGTATTTTTTGGAAGCCCTTCAGGGGGCAATGATTTCCGGTTCGCGTGTGCTCTTTTTGGATGTCGTTGCGACTTTTTTTCTGTTTCGCATCGGTTCAGCAAATCTTTCAGTATG